ATTTAGAGAGAGAGGGGGAGGAAGGGAAAAAGAGGGAAAACACATTAATGTGTGGTTGCCTCTCAAACACCCACTACTGCTAACCTGGTATGTGCCCTGACTGGGAATGAAAACAATAACACTTTGGTTCAGAGGCCAGCACTCAATCCACTGAGCCTCAGCCACAGGGCAGAAAGATTTTTAATGAGTGTCTCAAACATTCACTTACCTAAGGAGCACACTGCCTTCCAGCTCTTTGACAAAATTATTAAAATAGGCAAATTCAAATCTTAAAAATCTTCTCTAAATATTAATAGAAGTTTTAGCTATATGAATGAATAAATTCAATTTATTCCAGTTATTATAAATTAATGCTTTTTTGAACTTTTGTACCTGTGTCATGGCTAAATTTTTTTTGCTTATGTATTTTTAGAAACAAATGATTATGGTTTATTTAATGAAGTAATTTCTGCAACAGACTATAGTTTAAAAGCTGTTATATGTTTGTGATATGAAGAGAATGATGCACAATAAATAAGATTCATCTTATATCTTTATTTCAAGGACTTTTCCCATCTTTACACTTAGCAATAAAAGGCATTTCATATTGTTTAGAAAAAATATGGAATATTTTTCTACAAAAAGAAGGCACAGCATTTATAACTTGGACCAAGAACTGAGATGTTTGGATTTTCTTAAACAAATCTTAACTGGTGTGTAAGGACCAGAGAGGACATATATTTTCTGAGTCAACACCTAAACCCTTAAGTAGATTTTGACTCCCACTTAATTTGAAATATTAAATAATTTTGTGTTTGATATTCATTCTGTGAACATCGCCATTTCCCAACTACCTTATGTTCAATGTCATTTCTTGTATTTGTGACAACATAAATTACATGTTGTTGTATTTCTCCCTCAATTTAGTTAATGTTAGAAGAAAGAAAGGTGCTTTATGAACCCTCTAATTTGACCTAAAAAGAGAATGACATTCAGAATTCTAGGCTTCAGGGCAAGGCCAAGCCTTCTACAGCAATACTGCAACAGCTCCTGACTGGCTTTTAACTCCCAGAGGAGTCAGATTGCCAAAATATGGGCTGTAATGTGACAAGGTAGCCAGATCTCCTTAGATGTGGTTTCTATGGCATGCACGGATGTTCAATTCAAGTAGGAAAAGCAGCATCCATTACAAATAGAAGTGATAGATCTGGATTAGACAGGGACAGGTATCCCAGACCATTAGCACTTACTGCTTCAGCAAGTGGCCTGTCACATATCTTTCACCATGAAATCACAGGAAGTTCACCATCACCTTCAACAAAGAAGGCAACATTCATTCTGGTCCTCAATTCCCCCTCCCAAGTGCACACACAATCAGCCACTATTTTTGCTTCTCCCCAGCCACCTAGTCAACCTACTGACACACAAATCCCCTAAAACATGGCTAACTTGTTGAGTCAGCTGATGGGACTCAGCTTCTTGACTTGGACCAGATTATGGGATTGAGTTTTAGTTGTACTCAGTTCTCTAAGGCCATGTGGAAATGGTGGCTCTCAGAGCACACCTTGAGAGTCTGCTCCACACGTTTCCACTGGGTCAGAATAGAGACTGGACACCATTGACCTTCAATTGTGTCCTCATCCTCAAGCCTTTCCTGCATTCCCCACCTTTGCCACTCTCCATTACAACCCTTTTGCTACTCTGACTACCACACCCTCCAACTCCCTTCCTGATTAAAATTTATGTATTCATGTTGTCCCCAGTCTTACAAACTTTCATCTCTCTTCAGACTCCTAGTCCCCAACAGTATGCTCATCTCATCTCTCCCTTGATTCTTCTTCCATGTCTCCCGTTTCATAACATTTGTTGCCTAGTACATCTGGTTATCCCTCTTATACTAATCTTAGAATACTGATCTGCACCTTCAAAACCTTACTCTTTTGGCCAACCCTGTGTCTTTCCCCTCATAGACATCTTAGTCTGGGAGAATGGCTCCCCTTTCTTAACTGCACCAGCTCCAATAACCCCTCCCTCATCATGTAGGTCAGCCCCTTACTTGTATGCCTCAGTCACATCCTGAGCTTCCTTAACAAAACCTTCCTTCATCACCTTCTTATGTCCTCTTTGATACACATAGTGCTTAATACCCAAAACCCATATGCTTTATATTTTCTCATCAGGACTTTGAGCAGATCTTTTTGAGTGCCCTGTATGCACAATTCTAGCTACCTACAATCCACCTCTGACCAGAGGATTTAGTCCAATACCTCAGATGACCCAAGTAGGATTAAAAAGTAGACCAGAAAAGAGATTTATTTCCCATTTCCCAAGTTCTGATTGTAGACACTGAAGGTAGAGGTGTGGACTTTGTTAACATAACAGAGAAATAAAAAAATAAAGACACTGATTTGTGTCCTGAGTTCCAGGTCACAGGAGGCACAAAACAGGGTCTCCCAGTACAAGCCTGTGGGGGCTGATGTCAAAGAGACCTACATGTTTATTAGACTTTCTGGGGATCATGGCAGCATAATTTTCAAACCTCCATAAGCTTTCCCTTGAAGGTGAGTGGAAATGTATGTACAATGCAAACACTGTTGATGGGTAGGCTACTGCCAAGTTGCAGAGGTTCACACCTGTCCTTTCTATCAGATTCTAAGACAAAGGCCACTTCAAGGCAAACTCATCCTGAGAGAAATCTGGGCCATCAGGTCATCTTTGGCTGTGGACACCAATTCAGAAGTAGGGCAGGACAGCTAGAAACAGTTATTTGGAAAATTGCAGCCAGATTTTTTAAAAATGGAAGATTTGAAAATAAGGTAAGGATAGGTACTGTGAGCAAGGTGAAAAGATCTGATCATTAGAGGTAGGTGATGCCATAGTGAAAGATACATCATACAAGTTTAAAGAGGCAAGAGAGACTTTATGAAAGGCTGTGCATTACCATAGTGAGAAAGAATGCAACACACTTGAAAGAGAAGACAGAAGATTTTAAGAACAAGAAAAAGAATCATACACCTCTGTTTCTTATTTGGCTTTACAAAAAAGAAATATAAAGTAAAGCATTTCATGAAATCTTGCCAGTATGTCTTTTTACCTTGTGGTTTTAAAGGTCTTCACACAACTTAGGTTTCTGCTCTCTCAGAGAGATGAGACATAGACACCAGGAGGATTGAATTTAAAGTCACAGATATATGCCCTCCTGACAGATACACTTTGACTTATAACATTGGCAAGAAGATTTTAAGGAGACACATGTGTGTTTCAAATGGGCAATAAAAGAATCTGAAATTACAAATTGCAATTCTATTTTTGAAGAAAATGCTCTAAAATATGGAGGTCAGGGTCCTGCAATTAGGGAGAACCTGTGTAAAGGTCACTGATTCTGAGGAACATGAAAGCCTCTGGGTCATAATAAAAGTGCTTTCTGCACAGTGGAGGGAAACACAACTACATCTCTTTCAGCCAAGACCCAGTTTTCATCTTGATCAGTTATTGCAATTTATAAAGAGGTGCAAATTACCAGTTATTTATAAACAGGTGCAAAATAGCTGAGTTTTCCTGAACAGAGCAAGAATCTGATCTCCCAGAAGGCTGGGCTTCTGGAGATTTCCATTTAGCCACTACATTTTTCTCTACAGTAACATTCCCTGTCATCAAACATAATCCCTAAGGAAGAAGTGTGTACTTGATCCTAGGACATACCTGGAGTCACATGGTTTGACCTCATTAGTTACCTAAGTGCAGAGGAGCTGAATTTTATCACTTGGTTTACTCTGATGAAGGTTTTTCTATAAAACATATGATGGGAGTTTTGTCACCTGAGGTCAAGGAGCTTCACCCTCATACTTTGCCTTCAGTCTCTAGCTTTGAGTGATGTACTCTTTCCAAGAGGTACCAAAAGAACAGGAGATCAAACTTAGCTTCATAAACTATGGGTTCATTTTTAATTCCATGGGTATTTGTCTGAACTAGGGCATTTGAGCTAAAGTCCTAGCTTTATTACCAAGGTTTCCAATTACATCTTATTAACAAAAAGACCAGAAATGTACTAAACTTATTCAAATAGTTTTTTGTCGTTGTTGTTTTTTTGTTGCCCAAGTACAGTTGTCTGCTTTTCTCCCACCATCCCCATCCCCAACTCCACCCCAGCCATCCCCACCTTCCTCTCCTGATCCCATGCCCTCTTGGTTTTGTCCATATGTCCTTTCTAATTCTTCCTGAAAACCCTTCCCATTTTTCCCCCATTATCCCCTTCCGCCTCCCCTCTGGTTACTGTCAGTTTTTTTTTTTTTAATTTCAATGTCTCTGGTTATATTTTGCTTGCTTTTTTTTTTTGATTAGGTTGCACTTAATGGTTAGATCATATAGTATTTGTGATTCACTGCTTGGTTTATTTCACTTAGCATAATACTCTCTAGTTCCACCCATGCTGTCACAAATGTAAGAGCTCCTTCTTTCTGCTGTGTAGTATTTTGTTGTGTAAATGAACCATACTTTTTTGATCCATTCACAAATAGTTTCATTGACATATAAATAACAATACTGGAGACTTTAGAAATCTTTTGAAAACTATCTAAGATAAAGATTAAGATCAGGGTTGCTACCCACATGGGTGTCCTCTTGTCCATTCCCATTGTCTACAACTGTGACCATGTGCCTCTTCATGTTTGCATTGAGAAATGACAGAGCTAAGATCCTGTGAGCTCATCACCTGCTCCCACTGACTATCATACAATCACTGCTAATTCTCTGAGGGACACAGTGTTAACTCCACTGTGGACATGGTACAAATGAGACCAAACCAAGGCAAGTGTTAGTCTGAAATGTGACCTTAAGTCAACAATAATAACAATGTCAGCTCACATTTTTGAGTGTTTATTAACTTAGTGTAAATATTTTAAGAATTATTCACCTGCAGACAAATATATCATAACAGTGCAAACAAATGCAATTTAAAGCTCAATAACACAGAGGAAGAAAGGAGGGTCAGTCATAATGCACATAAAGTTCAAGACCCTGACTTTCAGCAGACATGATGGGGTTGAACACTTTACACTTGTAATCCCCAGCATCTCCCCTCATAACGGGTTTTATGATGATTCTTCTGCCATCTGACTTCAGCTTCATTCTGTCTGTGAACTTCAGATCCATGCCATTTAAAAACCACTGGGGGAATTTTCCATTTGTGTAGCAAGTCAAGACCACACGATCTTCATTCTCTCTGACTACATAATTGCTGGCTAGGAGGATGGGCACTCTCAGATACTCTGTGGAGAAACAGAGAATGTGAATCTTTGAAAATTTGCTTGAGACATGGAGCCATGCTGCTTCCTCAGAGATCTCCACCACTCACAGTCCACAGTGAGCTATGTAAAGGTCACCAGAATATGGCCCTGGCATTTGCAGAAATAAACTTGTTCAAGTTCAGGTGATAGTATGTAAAGTGAAAGTTACACCTCCTCTCTGAGCCTATATAACTTCAGGGGGATTCTGTACCTATGTCCTCACTCTTCTCTGTAGTAGCAGTACACAAATCCCCTTCCCAGTGCATATGGCTCATAACCTCATCATCAGGTACAATTTTTCTCTCATGAGCTTTATTGACATTGCCCTAGAACTTTTTTTTGACTTCACAAGACATCAGATTCCACTCCTTATGTGAATATTTATGTTTTGGGGAAGGCAAGCTTACCACCTTTGTCCATCTCTGGGGCCAAGGGAAGTTTACAGCAAGTGGAAAAGCATTCAATTTTTTTTTGTAAATTTTATTTATTTATTTTTAGAGAGGGAAGGAAAGGGGAGAGAGAGAGAGAGAATGAGAGCAAGAGTGAGAGCGAGAGTGAGAGCGAGAGAGAGAGACATCAATGTGTGGTTGCTGGGGGTCATGGCCTGCAACCCAGGCATGTACCCTGACTGGGAATTGAACCTGAAACACTTTGGTTCGCAGCCCATGCTCAATCCACTGAGCTATGCCAGCCAGGGCTTAGCATTCAATTTTTGTTAAAACAATTATTAGGTATTAAGGATGGCCCAAGCCAGTGTTCATGGATCACACCTTGATGATTTCTATCTAAAAGCCTTCTCACTCTGAACAAAAATTTATTTCCTTGCCAACTGAGTCAATATCATAGAATAGTTAATCTATAGAGGGAAATAGTTAAGGTTTTAATAAAACACATTGACTGTAGAAATAGAAGAAAACTATTCATGTAATAAAGGTCATACATAACATCCCAGAAATAACACAATATTCCCCAGACCACCTTACTTCCTGGTTGACCAGAAGCCTTTCCTTGCAGACACACAGACTTCTGCGACCCAGCTGAGGTGTATTTCTATGGGGCACCATTTCCCAGGACATGCTAAGGGTTTGAGTGGAACAACACATAAAGTCCAGAAACAAGCAATCTAATAATGGCAACAGAATCATGTCCTTTGACCTTGACCATTCAAGTCATTCTGTCTCCTCTGAGGGCAGGTAAGGACTTGTGCAAATGCAAAATCAGTGTCATACAGCAAGTGTGGAGCATAGACTTGCCAAAATTCTGGTCCTTGTGGAAATTTGTGTTGGGTAGCTATGAAATAGAAATGTAGAACAACTTAAAATTATTTTGCATGTGAAAATAATGATTAATACCCCAGGGCCTGAGACTAATTGCAAGAAAGACTATTTTATTAAAGAAAAAGAAAAAAAAGGACCTGAGATGATGGTCTTAGTTCCTGCAGGCACAGAAAACTTGTACCTCATGGCAAGAATTTAAAGGACTCTATATCCAGGTTCCAGACTCCAATGTGATTTTGGATCATTCGTTCATTCAGTCATTCACTCATCCCCCTTTTATTTCCTCCTAATTCATCAACAGCAACTCAGTGTTTGTTACTTATTGGTCCCTGGACTGGTTTCAGGAGTAGAGTGAGGAGTGAGAAGACAAAGTCCTTTCATTTATATCTGCTGGGAGAGACTGCACCAAAACAGGAAATAAATAAGTAATGTCAAATCCGGGTCAGGGAGGTATGGATGCACCTCCTGAGGGAGATGCTTGGGTAATGTATACAGTGATTCTGATTGTTACTGCAGGCACTTTGGTTCTAGAGTAGAAATATGTTATGTCTCAATTTTTTTTCACTCCAAAGAGCAAATTGTATACCTATAAGCTGAGGATACTTAATACAAAAACTTTCTGAGCCATTTTTTTTTGCTTTAGAATCCAAAGACCCTCTTCTACGGACCCTGTGGTGGAGAAATTCAGTCTATGGCTACAGATAGCCCAAGAGCGACTCTGATGAGCTGCTCATATTCTCTGTGACTCTGCTGCAGTGAGTGTATCTCCCTGTTCCTCAGTTTATTCTCAGTGAAGAAAGTTGTCAGTGTGTTAGCTATAAAACATTGTCAGTATGTGACCTACATCTTGAAATGGAAGAAAGAGCTGCTCAAATGAAGCGTCCCTTATTAATGGACTCCTAGATCTCTTATTGGTCTGGGCTGATTCCTGGTGAATGACAACCTTCCAGGAGCATCTTTTTTCTTCAGTTTCTTTCCTGGGATGCTGACCTTTCTCTGAAGCTTCTTAAGTCCCCCCGCCCCCCACCCCAGGACAGTCTGCTATATCCACAGACATTGTCTAACTGTGCTCTCCACACACAGACTCAGGTGACACCAAACTCCACTTCTGCCAAGATGAGTCTCTTGGGCCTGAGCCAGGAGTGGTGACAGGCTCAGGAGCCTTGTGACTCAGGCCCATTAAACCTTTACACACTGAGCCCTTTTGAGGACCCCAAACCCAAACTTGCACAGGCTGCCTTGCATCACTGGAGTAAAGAAACCTGACACAGAGTTCTGGGGAGTGGTTTCTGTGCTGAGGTCTGTATGAATATCCAGAAGCTTCTCAGACCATGCTCTGACCTAGTATAGCGGGGTCAGCCTCAGGTCAAGTTCATAGGAACATGCTCAGGGGGTAGAACTGAGATATGTCTCCCTCTGCTGAGTTACTCTCATCAGACTGACTTTTCTGTCTGCAGTGACTGCAGGGCTACAAGTTGGGTAGGGAAGTGAGATCCTAAGAAGTTTGTCTACACTCTGTGTATTCTGCATTAAATGTCAAAAATGAACCTTAAACAAAATGCAGAGGGGAATGGAGGTATTTTCCAGGGCTGTCAGTCCTGTGTGTGAAGTAGGAGTCACCCCTCCCAACCCCCAGTCATCAGAGAGCAATCACTCACCATATACGTCAAGTTGTCCAAACCCTATTTCTTTTTTTGAATCTGGAAGGTGGGCCACTATTGTATATGGTCCTGCGCTCTCCATGGTGACCTTCTTCAACAGCAAGGATCCATCATTGGTGATCATCTCTTCTCTAATGTTTTCAAGACCACTTAAATGAAAACTTAATGTCATAATAAAAAACGCAATTACATTATTTTTGTCCACGCCTTTCCCCTTATACCACACATAGACTACAGCCTCAGGAGGTTTATTGCGGATACGCAGAACCACATCCTCCCCTTCGGTACAATAGGTGGACACAATACTGAGTTGAGCTGTGGTGGGCAGGCTCCAGAAGATTAAGAATGAGACTAGGAAAAAGAAAAAAAAATGATCAGTATTTGTATCTATGTATTGGTACCTGAATTCTGAACAGGTATCTTTATCTCTCAGCCTTGGTCTGTAGGTGAGTGTGTGTCTCCCATGGTCAAGGTCAACAGCATGGCCCCCATTACTTCAGCACCTGTGAAGCTGTTATTTTTGTCTGTTTCAAATACTCATCTCCAGGTGTTTATCTAGCTCACCTCTTCACTGTGCTTAGAGCCCTTTTGAAACTCAGGAACAGTTTTGAAACACATTTTTCTGACCACCTTCTCTAAAAATTATCTGCCTTCACTTTGTGGCCTGTCTTACTCTGTTACTTTCATGGCTGTTGTGTGTACCTGACCTCACATCTACACCATTCTTTGTTCCTCTCTCCTCTATAGAACATGGACTCAATGAGAGCTGGGCTTGTCTGATTTTGTACCTCCAGTGACTACAACAGCTTGGAAATATATGGGAATGAATGAATGAGTCCTGTACCTCCTAGGGTTTATTTGCCCATTTTGGGGGTTTGTAGTAAAGACAACATCTAGCACCCCTGATTAAATTTTTCTAGTGTTTCCTGACATAAATCATTATTATTGTTATCAGTTTTCATAATTCAATACTCAGTGATGAATAACAGGAAACAAACAGCAATCCAGGTTTTCCTGCCTCTCACCACTTACAGATTATGAGATTTTCCTCTTGCTGGGTCCCCTCTGTTGGGGACCACCCTGCCTGGTCTCAGGAAACTGTAACTCCCCATGACTTAGGCTGAGTGAGAGACCTCCAGAGCAGGAGCCATTAAGGAGACAAAACTTATTTCCCTGGCATGAACGCTTCCTGTTCTGTGCCTGACCTCCTAAGCTTGATCAGTTAGCCAATGACAGGTAAGATTTCCCACAGAGGGAATTTCCTAAGACAGGCATGATCACATGGAGGCTTCTGGGAAGAGACTCAGGGCTGTGGAATTGAAGGGGTGATGGATATCAACCCCTGCCCCCTTGGCTTTGTCAAAGACTGAGTCCTTGTTCTTAGATGTGAGAAATCCAAGTCTCCTGGCTACTTTTGTCTTCTCTGTAAACTCAGGCCTGTGGAAATAGCAGGGGCGGTGCACCCTAGTCCAGAAATGGCAGACCCCCAAGCTAATCAGGCCTGGGACATAGAATATGCAAAATCTTGTGAGAACTGTTTGCTAGAGGATGTTATTAAATTAGAATATGAAGGCACAGACAGGAAACCAAAACTAGCCCTTTAATCAATGTGTTAAAACTCCAACCTCTACCCAGAATCACAGCGGGGGTTCTGTCTGCATCTTTGTAAGTCACCTACTTCTTTTGATATTTTCTGCCAGACTGTGAATCCACAAACTAAGTCGGTATTCTCAGTAAAAATCTGCTTGGGAATGGATATGGGTGCTCCCCAATAGAGAGAGTGGCTGTTCCGTTCCTACTTCCCCACAGGACCTGGTTGTCTCTCTGCATGTTTTTCTTATGTGTCAATGAGCCATCTGCAATGTTCCTGCTCACTGTGGGCTGGTGAGCATACTTCACCCTTCCCCATCCTACTTTTCCCTTTTATACTTTACACTGAGATTCAGACAGAAGACTTCCCTTATTTATCAGAACAAGGTCTATTCAGCAGACCCCAGGAAGTCTCTGTGTCGGATCCTTAGCCTACTCCAAGGAATTGTCTCATACTTACCAACCAGCAGGAGCCCTTGCCAGTGGACAAGTCCTCTGTGGGTAGAGACTGAGAGGGACCCCATGGTGTATGTTGTCTCTTCTGTGGCTGACTCTAAGAGAAGTGTCAGGTTCAGTGAGGCTCACAGGCACCTCTGTCCAGAATGGTACAACCTGCTGTGTGCCTTACCTGTGGGCTGAGCTTTATTCAAGTTTAAGATTACAATTTTTGTCATGTGAGCTGGGGGCAGGGTGTATGCAGATTACCATCCAACTGCCTGCTCTAGTTATTGCCACCCTTTGCTATTCTAACCAGTAGTGCCCTGCTATAATTTGGTTCCCTGAGAACTCCTGAGGCCTCTCAACACCACACACACACACACACACACACACACACACACACACACACACACCACACAAACACTCACTCTCATGCTGTATTTGGAATAGCACAAGCCTGGAGTTTCTGGATTTCAGGGTTTCTCCACAGCTTCCTGTCAGGTGTCCAGCAGTGTTTCTCACAGCCCTCTCATAAATTTGACTCTTCCCTTCAGAGCAGTAGTTCTTGAACTAAGTCACAGAAACCTGTCACAAAGAAGTCACTCCTGCTATGCATCAGATCACCTGTGAAACCTTGTAACATTGCAATACCCAGGTGACACCTAAAAAATGCAGCTTATGCAGCTGTCCAGCTAATGTGGGTGCCCATTCAGAGTAAGATCCCTGGATGTGAAAGAAGAACCACATCTCCTGCTCTTCTGTGTACAAGGGAAGTCTCCAGATCCTGCTATACTGCAGATTCTAACTGGGTGCAGTGGGCCAGAGATTCTGTATCTGACAAGCTATGAGGGGAAGTTGATCTTAATTATGGCCTCCGGAGCTCACTTGCAATAGCAAGGCTGAGAGGGACACAGGTGTCTTGAGAGGATGACACACTACTGGCAGCATTGATCTCTGCTATGTCTTTAGCTTGGGTCTGTCAGCACTACACAGAGTCCCACATATCATCAAAAAAGGGAATTATTTGTTTGTGACCCAGAAACCCGTCTGGGTACCAGGTCTTCCCCATGTTCTCAGAAGCTCTGTGGTTTTATTTTTTTTTCCCCTATGAAGGTAACAAAAATAACTCAGCAGACGAGAAATGATCACACTTGGTCATAATTGAAGAGCGGACCCTTCTTCTATCTCAGGTTGTCACCAGATTGGCTTTTGCTTCCAGGAATACAAACTCAAAATCAGAATTCTCAGTAGGACAGACAGTTTTGGGTGTGAAATAGGAGATATCCTCTGTGTCCCAGGAAGAAGGGACTGTTGTAAAAGGTCAGGTGGCTATGGGCTGCCTGGTTCTCAAGAGACAGTTTCAGGTAGACCACTCCTCTCCAAGTCTGTTTGTAGGACCTGTCCTTGTGCTGCTGGCTGTTGAGACAGCCTCTCAGTTATCCCTGGGAAGATTCCTTTTGTCACAAGACTTGCCCATGGATGATACCAGGCATGGAGTAGAGAGCAGCACAGAAACCTTTGAGAGAGGAGGTGCTCCTAGGCTATGTCAAGGTAAACAACAACAACAACAACAACAAAACCAACTTCAAATTTATTCAGCAATATAATGAGATTATCTGAGCCAAACTTAGCTCATATGTCTTGGAGATAGGACTCAAATCCTTTGAAGAAAGGCAGTTTTTCAGCTTATTGTATACATTATCATTCAAGTAGAAAATGATAAAATTTGGTTAAAATCCAGAAGGAGGTGAAAGAAAATACAGCAGAGAAATATCCAGAATTGTAGAAAAAGGTAAAATGGAGAGACATACATTTTTTTACATTGGTGAGTTAGAGGATAATTAGAATTTACAAGACACAGAAAAGGTGTGCTGGGGACCAGATAACCTAAAGGATGCTGTGATCTCATACACTTGTCCCAGACTGTGACATGAATGGTCCAGCAAAGAAAATCACTCTGATGTGTCAAAGTTATGCTCTTGAAGATGCACAAAAATGGATCAGGGCTCACTTAAGTTAAACACAACCTTTCTTAAGGAAAATACAGGCCTGTGATGTGATAACTTGCTAAGTTAGAAGTTTCTGATCAGAATATTTTGTGAGTATTTTCAGGCCTTCCATGTGGCCCCCCGAGCTTGCCAGGGTTATGTCACAGTCCCTTTCTGTTAACAGTCTCTAGAAGTAGCAGGTGAGACAGAGAAGTCAAGAGGCAGGAACCAAGAAAGACCTGTTAAAGCAGGGGATGAAAATCAGGCTACTTCTCCATCTGAACCAAAGCCTGGTTCCTGTGTCTATTTCCTATGTATATCAAAGTTGCATCCCAAATATGTCTTGTGTGTCTTCCATCACTACATTGGGATATTGGATATACCTCATTTCTGTGTCCCTGTCTGCCCACAGAGCCCAGGAACTGGAGCATCTCCAGGTCAATACTTAACTAGGGCTCCCGTTTGTTCTTCTTTAGGAGAAGAGTGGTTTTCTTAGAGCCCTCACCCCATTGAAATAGAAGCAACTACAGATTCTGGGTTCTCCTGTCCCATTCTGACATGAAGTTTCCCTTGTTCTCTAAGACATCATGAACTGGAGACATGTCTTCAGAGACAACAGGCAGGTGTCCCACAAACCAAAAATTTTGGGAATGAAAAGTCTTCCCTCTTTCCTATATGGTCAGGGTGCATTCTTTTTCCCCTGGCAGAAACTCTTTCAGGGGTTGAGGATCCAGTGTTTCTGTCAGTTCAGGTATCTGTGAGAACAGGAAAATGATAGGCCTGGTCTGATGATACATAACTCACAAGGTGGGGCAGTGGAAGGCTGTGATTTTGGAGGAATAAAATGAAGTTCAACCCCTCACTGTTGGGAAGTTTCTTTCATTCCTTTTGACCATATGAGAAATAAAAACCAAACCCTAGGATGTATCCAAGCAGGTGGCATCCTCCTGTCATGCTGACACCAGTGCCTTTGTGCCCATAAGAACATAATTTGACTACGAGTGTCACACAGTGACAAGCTTCCACTGTGCAGTTTCCCTTATTGATTTAACAAGTGTTTGTGGAGCATGTGTCAGGGTCCTGGCTGAGCCCTGGGAACTTTAAACAAAATAAGACAAGTGGACCCTGTGTTGCTTGACTTTACCTTGTAACACAGACAGGCTGTCAGGTAAATCAAGGCTCTAGGAACTTAATTATAATTCGGAAAAGGGCCTCAAAACAAAACTTCTGGTCCCTCCAGAGTATGTAATTGAGTCTCAGCTGGTCTGGGAAACACAAAGAGCACTTCTCAGAAAGTATCCTCTTGGCTAAAACCTGAAGAGTTAGTGGACATTT